CATGAAAAACAAAATGGTCAGTTAATTCATATTTTTTATGGATGATTGGATTTAGTGATTGGATCTTTTAGTACTAAAAGATCAGATGCTGAGAATACTTAGGCAACTCATTTTTTCTATTACTTGTTTGACATTTTATTTCTCAAGTGACTCTAGTTTTCCTGTGTTAGATTCTCCCTTGGCACTATACTTTTCAAATAGGGGGGGGAGGGAAATTCTATACAATAGATTTTCCCTTATTTATTTATATCCCACTTTTATTAATTTTTTATAAATATCTCAAGATGGCAAACATATCCAAGACACTGTCCTCTTCTTATTTTCTCCGCAACAACAACTCAGAGGTGAGTTGGGCTGAAAAAGAGTAAATGGCTCCAGGTCACCCAGCTGGCTTTCATAGCTAAGGTGGGACTAGACCAGTGATGGCGAACCTTTTAGAGACTGAGTGCCCAAACTGCAACCCAAAACCCACTTATGCATCGTCGAGTGCCGGGTGGGTGTGGCCCATTGGGTGGGTGTGGCCCATTAGCTGGGTGTGGCTCATTGGGTGGGTGTGGCCCATTGGGTGGGCGTGGCCCATTGGTGGGTGTGGCTGTGGTAACGGCAGACTGGGTGGGACTAAAAAGTTCAATCAATCCCAACTTTGCAAGATCTTTTTTTCCCCGCGAGAAGTTGAAATTGACTGATTGAACCTTTTTTTCTTTTTGGCCCATGGCGGCAGAGGCCTAAAGCGAAAAGGTTTTATAAAACCCAGCTGAAGGCCTAGGACTGGGGCGACGGCACACGTGCCCACAGAGAGGGCTCTGAATGCCGCCTCTGGCACCACTGGACTAGAACTCAGTCTCCTGGTTTCTAGCCTGTTGACTTAACCACTAGACCAAACTGGTTCTCTGTATTTGTACCAACATTAAAGAAGAGTCATAGTATTGGGTCGTTGTTGTTTTTTAAATTGGCTAGTCTGCAAGAATAATTTTGACTCTTTCCATCTCTTAGCCATTTATTTTAATAGAACAAATGTCTTTCAGAAAAGCTTTGCTCTGATTTGTTCTGCTGAATCTTAATGTGAAATGCCTGGTCTTTCATAGTTACTTAATAAAGTCAGACAGAAGTGGTGTTGTGTTATAGGGATAATATCTGAAACCAAGGTGTGTTGTGTTGCCTCTGGCCACTTGCAGATCCAGCCAGATTTACTATTTGCCTACAGTACCTATGTTTCTCTGGTATTAATTAACTACAATATCTCCTGATGCCAGCCACTGCTTAGTGTCTTGTGTTTGTTCACAGCAGTGTTATCTTTATGTTAATATGTATTTCTTAGGACAAATCTCTTCCCTCTTGAACCTTACACATGCTGGCAAAATCAGATTTATAGTACTTTCAAAGTAACTACTGTAACTAAATTGTGACTACTAAGCCTAAGGAACAATAGGAAATTGAGAAATTGTAGGTCTGATTAATTGATCACTTAGGAACATCAGGCTTAGCTAAGGGTTATGTAAAGATTTTGGTTTGGAAAAACTTTAGTGGTATAAGTTTGTAAGGAGATGTGGAAATTTGGGGTAATTAAAAAGCAGCAGCTGGGATCTATTTTATGCAATTCTTGTAACTGGATTCAGCTAGATATTCCATCCCATTTTATATTTTGGGCATTGGTTCTGCTGATTTAGCAAAATGGCTTTAAGAGATTGAATTATGAAAGAAGGTATAATTTATTCAAATTTGAGTTAGGTCACAAACGGGAGATAATTTGAACGAAGTCTCCTTTCCCACTATGGAAATAGAAATATCCTTAAGGAAATATTGTAAGATTTGCCAAGGTGTGCCAGGTACATTCTTGGAACATTTGCTGCATCTTCTCCAATTTGATGCCCTCCAATTATTTTATACCACAACTCTGATAGTTCCCAGCCAGTTATAAAGCATGATGTGACAAAATAGTAATTGAAATAATCTAATTCTTCTCCTGTTCTACGCTTTTATTTTAGTTCTTTTCTATTTTCTCCATAGGAGACAGATTTTGATGCATATTCAGCTGATTTAACCATTTCTTTGAACTGACCCCTCACTATTATGACCTCTTCCTATTGGTGAACTTTCATAAGATGAGAAGAAGTGACTGCCTCCAGAAAGTCATTAATGAAGCTTCATTTGGGAGAGAACATAAAAGCAAAGAGGGATATTATTTATTATTTTAGGAATAGTAAGCAGTACAGGTAGTTTTTGACTTACAACAGTTTGTTTAGTGATGTTTCAAAGTTACAACAGCACTGAAAAGTGTAACTTATGATCATTTTTCACAGTTACGACCTTTGCAGCATCCCCATAGTCATGTGATCGAAATTCAGACGCTTGGCAACTGACTCATATTTATGACCGTTGCTGTCTCCCGGGGTCATGTGAGTCCCTTTTACGACCTTCTCACAAGCAGTCAATGGGGAAGCTAGATTTACTTAATAACCGGGTTACTATCAACAGCAGTGATTCACTTAACAACTGTGGCAAGAATGGGTTGTAAAATGGGGCAAAATTCACTTAACAAATGTCTCATTTAACAACAGAAAAATTGTGGTCATAAGTCAAGGACTACCTGTAACTGAACTGTTAACCAAGGTTACTGGAAAAGCAAAGATTAAAAAGTAACGTTGAATCCCAGCAACATTCAAGATCCCAAAAGGACTTTCTTTGCCACTTGATTTTGCTCTGCATGAACCTTGAAGGGTAGATAGAAAATAAAAGGACAGGTAGGAATTTATGGTTTCTTCTACTATTGTTTCCTCTGAGAGCTACCTACTTCTATTGTTGCTAACATTAATTTCTCCATTTACCAGAAAGAACTACAGTACAGTCATTCTTTTGCACAGTTCTACCAGAGGCCTCTAGCATTGAAAAGCAGAAAAGACTTGAGCATTTTGCTGGAAAATAGGTTGCAAAATGGAGATGCGCATGAAACACTTGACTTTGTGGTTCGGTTTACTAAATGTTTTCCTAATGGTTTGGAACCATAACATGACTGAAGGATCCCAAGCAATACTGGGCCATCCATTCATCTCAATCTGGAATGCACCAACTCAAATATGCCAAAAAGAATACGGAATATCCCTTGACTTGAGAATTTTTGATGTGATTGTCAACCCGAATGACTCATTTATAGGGAAAGACATTACTCTCTTCTATAGTAATAAATTCGGATACTATCCATATTACACCAAGGATGGAGTTGCCATCTATGGCGGTCTCCCTCAAAATGCTAGTCTAAAAGCTCATCTCCAGAAGACTGAACAAGATATTAAAAATACCATTTTGGATGTTGGCTTCAAAAGTCTGGCAGTTGTGGACTGGGAACACTGGCGCCCCTTATGGATTCGGAACTGGAGTTCTATGAAAATCTATCAATATAAATCTATACAGTTAGTTAAGGAGCAGCATCCTGATTGGCCTGCGGACAAAGTGATCAAAGCGGCCCAGTTAGAATTTCAAAAATCTGCTCAGGCTTTCATGGAACAGACATTGGCCCTTAGTGAAACCCTGAGACCAAAAGGCTTCTGGGGCTTTTATGGTTTCCCCAATTGCTATAACAATGAGTACCAATCTGTCAATTATACTGGAGAATGCCCAGAGATTGAGAAACAGAGAAACAACGAATTGTACTGGCTCTGGAAGCAAAGCCGGGCTCTTTATCCCAGCATTTACCTCCCCAACATTCTCAGACTGACTCACAAAACTCTTGAATTTGTTCGTCATCGAATCCAGGAGGCCTTCAGGGTTTTGAAGTGGACACAGAATGACATCCCTGTCTTACCTTATACTACCACTGTATATGACTTTACTCATAACTTCATCACACAGGTAAGCAATTCTTGTGTCTCTCCCAGTGCAGGATTTGATAAGCCTTGTCCAGTGGAAATTAGCTGGAAAACATGGCATGGAAATAATGGTAGACTTTAATAGAATATCCTTATCAATATCTTTAAAATTTTTGGACTCAATATGGCATCACAATTAAATATCTGTTGTTGTAATTTTTACTGAAAATTAAGACAGAGCAAGCCTTTTCCCTCCCCACTTGCCCTGATAAATACTTCCAACATATCAATGTGAAAAATCAACATCTTTGTTTTTGGCAGTTTTATGTTAGATTTTATTTTTAACAATATTTCACCTTTGGATGAGACGGGATTAAAAATTAATGTAGGTCAGATGTGACTTATTGAAAATAAGTGGGTCTTTTTATTGCTGTTTTGTTTTTGTTTTGGGGTAAACAAATTTTTTATGAATGATTTTCTTTTTTCTCCCATCCCTTGGGGCAGGGGAAGTAGACTTAAAGCCTAAGTGCCATAATATTTAATTTTCCATCAATAACACAGATGTTGTCATGTTAGTGTATAGAGCCAATATAGTTGTTATCCACTGAATTGCTGTACATCGGTAACAAGTAAAATAAAGATGAAGGGAAAAACAAGATTATTCAAGAAAAGTGGTTTAGAGGAATGAAGAAGTAGCAATTGGTTCAGACGATAGAAAATTGTAGTACTCTAGGAGAAACCCCATGAAAATAACTTATTTAACTGAGGTTTTGCCATCACACATAAAATGAAGAGATTTATATAGATTTATAGAGACGTATATAGGGACAAGCTAAAAATAGATATGAACAGAGGCTGTGATAAAAAAAAAAGTTGTTTCCTAAGAAGAGGAGACTTTAGAGAGACTTTTTGATGAAAAGTTGCTGAAAGTGGAGAGACCACAGGAGATTGAGATGGGCAGGAAGGGACATACTAGATGAAGTAGGTAGGATAAGAAAACAGGCAGTTTCTAAAAAAGTGGCAGAGGAAGAGAGGTCTGCATTTGGCCACAGATTATTTTGGGAGAAAAAACTCTTAAAAATCACTCAAAACCAGGCCATACTTTGAAAGGGGTAGGAAATCATATTGGAAGATAGATTAGATGATGCAAGAGAACATCAGTAGAAAAAAAAAGTACAGTCCAGATAAAAGTATTTCAAAAGAAAAACTGAGTGAAAAACGAGAGTGAAATCTATCTTTTCATTCATACTTCAGCTCAAGGTTGGGCATTTTGATGCAGGAGACCACTTGTTTTTAATCAGCTGAACATTACAGGGAGTATAGCAGTGATATGATAACATGGATGGATCCAAGTCAATTTTGTTGGGTTGTTTAAGACGTAAAATAGGTGTGTTCAATTTTTAATGAACCTATTTTTGCTCCTTCTTCTGAAGCAAACAGATAATGTTGCTACTCTTCAGAATCACCTTGATGTAACCCAGGGTTGTTAAAAGGAGGACTGCATGCAACATGCAGTCACTATTTACCACTTCTGTTCATTGGAAAATAGACTCTCCTGTTTAATAAGGCAGTCAGGGAAAATGTCAATCAAATTATTTAATCAATTACTTACACATAATCCTGACACATGATATTACTATGCAAAATTCTCAAACAGCTGCTATTTAGAAGTAGGACTTAAAGGGTCTATTGTGACCAGAGAAGGGGTGCTAAGATTCAGATCCTAAACATGAAACTACCTTAATATTCTTGTTTTGCAGGAAGACCTGGTCCACACCATTGGTGAGAGTGCTTCTCAAGGTGTTGCTGGGGTTATCTTGTGGGGTAGTACAAATTTCAGTAAATCTCGGGTAAGTATGGCAAAGAAGTCAGGACTGATCAGAGGGCCATGTGAGGCTAGATAGGGGAATTTCAAAGGTTCGAATTCTAGTAAGATATATTGTTTGGGTGAAGGCCTTTCCAACATATTTTTTTTCAACCCATACATTATGGATTTATAATATATTCAGTTATGGGATAAAAAAGGTGTGGTTGCTCTACTAGATAACCTTTGTCAGGACTTTGAACAAATATGTACCTCCGGTTCTCCTGGACTTCACAGCAGCATTTGATGTGATCAGCTAAGGTATCCTTATGAGTTGTGGTTACCTTGGCAGGATAATTGGGGGAACAAAAGGATGATCGGGCCCTTGTCTACTCCAGGGAGAGATGCTTCTGGGATCAGTCTCTCTAACTCCCCTGCCCACACACAAACCCATTGTTCAACATATATATGAAACCACTGGAAAAGTTTATATGTTGGTTTGGATGAGATGTCATCAAAATTAAAATGACATCCAGCTGTGCATTGTCAAGTCAGGCTGTATTGGAGATGCTATAAATTGTATTTGAGCTGCTGTCTGCAGGCTATTAGGATCTGGATAGGCAGAGAGGAGGTGAGACTAAAGTCTAGCAAAATGGGAGTTATTCTATGCCTGTAAACATCAGGGATGTCTGATAATACTGACCCCTCCTGTCTCTGAACGGTCACAATTTGGATCCATACAGCTCCTACTTGAGTGACAAGTGGAATTGTGGCCAGGAAGTGTTTCTACTGGCTTCAGTTGATGCACCATTTGCAGACCTATCTGAATCAGACTGGCATAATTTAATTCCATAATAACCATTTTTGCTATTCGTGTACACCAGTTACATTAAGACAAGGCACAATAGCATTTGTGGAATGCATTCCGGGGGAGCAAAAGTCAGCAAAGCTGAAGTAGTTTGTGTGGAGAAGGAGAGTTAAAACAGCTCCTTCCCAGAAGTTCTCAGAATATGTTTAAGATGATACGCAAATCGCCTTCTTTAGTTTGGCAAGATTTCTGCCTATAGGTGAAGGACAATGAAGGAAATTGCTTAGAAGAATCTCAGTGTGTATTTCTTGGGTTTTTGGAACTAACAGCATTTGAAATTGAGTCTAGAGTCTTACTGATAGCTAATACAACAGGCTCAAGATCATCATAATTATATAGTAAAAAAATTCCTTGAGAAAAGTCCAGTTGCCCCATTGCACTTCTAAACCATCTTCAAAGGTGTCTCCCACCTGGAATCCAAGGAGTCCTGTTGTTTTAGCCTCTCAGAGGCTGATTCTTTCTCTAAGCATTAAGCTAAAATGGGAATTGAACTGGGAGGATGTTTAGTTTGTGGCCTGGGAGGAAGGATACTTGTATTTTTAGCCTAGATTTAAGGGATTGTTGTGAGCATCTAGGATTATCCTATGAGATAATGGCCATATAAGTCCTGTAAATAAACAAACCCTGCATAATGTTTGTCTTCTTATGTCATCATGTCTACCACACCAATGATGACTAGAATGTCAGATGCAAAGGGTCAGGACTGTACCTTAAGTTGCAGCACAGAAGGTTTATTCAAGCAAAAATCTAGTTAGCAAGTTCATTACTAAATTGGCGCCAGATAAGGGTCAACGAAATTTAAGAGGGGCTGGACTTAAATCATTTGTGGCAATGTAAGGACTCTGAGCAAATGACATGTTTAACTGTTTCACACACACACACACACACACACACACACACACACACACTATGTATTAATATGTTTCCTTGGTGACCATGACATTAAGGGAAAACATGTTTGGAATTCCTGTGAGAAATGTGAGAAATTCCTGTGAGAAATTCCTGTGAGAAAACTAATATGATCGTTGCAGACAACTCTTTTAAACTCATTTTTTTCTGGGCCTGCTTTTTTGTACCTTACAGGAAGCCTGCCTTGAAGTGAAGGAGTATGTGGACAAGCTCCTTGGCCCATACATTATGAATGTGACCAGCAGTACTAGGCTTTGTAGTAAAATACTTTGCTCAAAGAATGGCCGCTGTGTGCGGCAGCAGAATCACCCAGAAGCCTTCCTGCATCTCAATTCTGCCAGCTTCACTATTAAGAAGCATAATGTTGCCCCAGGCTTTATTCTGATTGGCCAGATGTCAATGGAAGATCAAATCAAGATGGCCCAAACATTCACATGTCAATGCTACGATGGCTGGAAAGGATTGCATTGTGAGAAGAAGTCAATCCACAATGAGGTATTCAGTCCTCAGTTTCATGATATATAATACATGTCAACAAGAAAAGCTCAACCTGCAGAATTAGACTGTATAAAATTAATATCTGCTCAATATCTGATTAACATTAAACTGGTGCTCTGAGAGATTATAGGCTACATTACCATCAGAATTCTGGTAGCTGCTGTCGCATTGCATATGAAGGGCAGAGGTGGCGGAAAATTGGGCTTCACCTTTTTGCAATGATAGTCAAAGGCAGTTTTTCCCCCACTCTTCTGTTGAGTGCAAGCAGAAATCCTTCTAGAAATGGTTATCTGCAGTCTCTTTGCTTGTGTACTTAATACAGTTTTACCTTGCAGCATAAAAAAGCTGGCATGCCTTTTCTTTTGATCATGGTATGAATACAGACAACAAACGTGCTTTTCTTATGAATATATTTGCTTTCATTTCCATCTGAAGAAGTAACATCAGTTCAGTGACATCTTTGTGATGATGTGATGACACATGCAGAGAGATGCATGCTCAGGAGAGAAGACACACTTCATTTCTTTGGGAGACCCATAGTTTATTCTTATAGTTGTATGATGAGCGTTTTGAAGGAAGGTGGCACTGTCACCCCATCAATTGCCTTTAAAATAAGTGCAAATACTTCTGCATACTATTGTTGTGCTGGTGCTTTTCTAAGTTGTTGAATGACTGTTTATATGCAGAGACTTTGTGATTCAAGGAAAAGGCCTAACCAGTTACCAGATTTCTGTAATTGAACTGCATGCATGTTTATGTACTGAGACTACCTCCAGTTAAAGTAGATAACCTATCTCAATTTTTAATGCATTACATTGTTCTGCTACAGCTTAGACATTGACTTTGGGAAGCGGGAGCCAGGGCAATATCTGGCATGTTATTATGGGGCTGAGCTGATGTAGCAAAGGAAGTTGTTAATTGAATAAATCACAAGATTGCTATTGTGCTAAATTATTAAATTAATAATTAAAGGACAATTAAATTATTGCAGCATTATGCATACTTTGTGCTAAACCAAGATCACTATTGCCAAGCAGGAGCTAACTAATATATTTTACATAATGAACTACAAGATATCCAGTATCCCCAAATGTATAAATCCACACTTGCCAAATATGCCAGCTTAGCAGGAAGAGATGGTTTCTTTATTTAGGAGAGGGGTAGGAAGAGTCATTCTTTCAAGAAAAATTAACCCTGGTAAATTGCTTTGTTTTCTTCCACCTCAATGGGATAAGAAGCAGAGAGGAGATTTGCCAATTGTCTGAGCAGCACAGAAGCAGACTGGAACCTGGGCTGGATGCTCTCCACTGCCTTGTTTGGAGTGTGAGAGAATACACAAGTGAATCAACCCCAGCTGGTTTGGCATGCTGGATTTCTTGGCACAGGCATGTGACAACTGCTGAAGGAGTTCTCTTGTCCTTGAGGCAGAGTTGCAGAAGAGTGGTATATAGAGCAATAGCACCTAGATTTATTATTATTATTATTATTTATTGAATTTATATCCCGCCCTTCTCCTTGCGGACTCAGGGCGGCTGACAATCAATTAAAAATACACCAATAACAATTACAAAATTAAAATTAGTTAAAAAGAAATATTTAAATGTTGTCTAATTAAAATATGATTAAAACCCCTCTAAAAATTGCCCTAGGCCAGTCCCGCTTGTTGG